GACTTACCCCTCCCCCTTTAGTCATATTCCTCTTTATCAGTGCTTACTCATTGTAAGTCACTCACTTTATCATGTTTWTTCGCAAAGAACACTTCCGCCGTGCYGCCGATGTCGCAGGTCCTTCAAGCAACAACGGRAGGTATGCTTTGATGAAAGAAGAAGCTTGCAAAAAGCAGAGTGAAAGTCTACGAGAGAAATTTGAAGCGCAATCTCACAATAAAATGACAAGGTGAGTGATTTATTGKTTTTTTATCGCATCTCGATTTTACCAGAATTTGAAGCGGTTGTTTTAATATGGATGTTAAGCTTGCTAAGCAAACAGGGAATTCGATCTGCGTTTTGAAAAGACGGTAAAGCGCTCAAATTTATAGCAAATTTTGCAAAGACAAGGTCTATTCCTTCTTGTTAAGTAATCAAAAGTTCAGTGATGTCGAATCAAAATCTGAAACAAAATTGTAAAATTGTAAATTGCTGCTGTATTCAACTCGAGAAAAGATAAGAGGAGAAAAAAATATTCATATGCTATGGGATTCACATTATTTTTGATCCTAAAACAACTATACATTATCACGATATAAAATTGTACAAAAGTTTGCATTTTTCTCAAGACATTTCGTTTTGAAGCATTAAATCCTTTGCAAATGACTACCCCTAAAATTGTCGCGTGCATCACAAGAAAAAAATCTGCGATAAGATTTTTAACAAGAAACATCGATTGTGTATTAAAGCGGAGAAATACGAGAGAGAAAAAAACCACAACTTTTTGCGTAACATTTGTACTGTTCAAGCTTAGCGTCAGTAGTGGTTCTCGTTCTCATGTGTTTTTTGTTGTTGTTGTTGTTGCGCGACAATAATTTTGCAGTGCTCAGACAAGCCGCGAAAAAGTAGAAATATGGACGCAAACCGCAACAAGTTGCACGACAAGGTCTTGCAATTTGTATTCTCGGCCTTTAACAAGTAAAGATGCGTACGAAAAGGAGATTTCTTCTCGAAGTAGAGCGACGCATAGCAGAAGSAACAGAGATATCTTTCTGAGGTTTTCTTTTTGAACATTAGATAAAGCTATTGAGAACTACAATTAGTTATCGCTAAAGGAATTCAATACTGACAAAATTGCTCTATTTTTAGTGTGATTTCTTATCGTTTGGGAACAAAAGYCTAAACAGAATCAAATGATATTCAATCAATTGCCTTTYGCAAGTTGAAGCGTTCGTTATTAACATTGAACAACTTGGTTTTTCCGCTAATTAATTGTTCATAAAAAGGAAGATAGGGTGATTTGTTACTCATTAAATTATATCATGTTGAAATGTTGTTTTGAGTGAAAATTCATAATTTTAAGTTGCTAATTTTGAAGGTAATTGGAAGAAAAAGTAATTGATTTTTTAAAGATTGAAAATGATAAATTCGAGGCTTGAAAGTGCCTCCTTTTAAAAGCAGGCTAGCCCACAGCATGCAGTTATGTAACCCGCTGAACGCAAGCTAAAACTGCTTTGGTTTTCCGTCGCAAACGCAAGCCCAAGCATTAAAAAATACATGGTGTGRAAGCTAACGCAAGCGCAAGAACACAGCACAAGCAACAATTTTTCAAATTATCATCTTTCTGCTTTCTTTGGTACCGAAATATTGATCGTTTTCAACCATTCCCATGAGATTCAAAAGATAAAAGACCGGCGGCCATGTTGGAGGACCAAACAATAGATACTAATGAGAAATCCTTTGTAAAATGTCCTCAAAGATGGCCGCTGTGACGTAACTTGAAAACGAAGAATTTCTGACTGATTGCAATCAAAGTTTTTACTAGAATTCTGTCATGTAAATGCAACAACAACAACAAAAAAAAAATCAAAGCGCTTGCAAGACTGGCACTAGTATTTTCATTGGTCAACGTATTTACACTGTTACTGCTCCACAGAGTTTGAACAAAAACTCTTAATAGGGTACCTGACGAAAATATAATTTTCTTTTCTTTTCTAGAAACTTATCGCCAGAGGATGAGTTACGCCGAACACACCGACGAGATGAGATGATTTTGAAACAACAACAGCAAAACCACGCACAATTTGTAAGTATAGTGCATTTTTTCGCTCTTTATCCTGTGTACATCCGTTTCTCACCCCTCCAAAATAATCGGGGAGACAACGACGTTCTCTCCCCGATTATTCGGGTCGTTCTCTCCCCGATTATTTGGGACGTTCTCTCCCCGATTATTTTGGAGGGGTGAGAAACGGATATACACAGGCTAAATGCTCTAAAACTTGAGTTAAACTGATTATTCCGGGGATAACGCGAAGGATTTCCGAACTAAACACGAACGCTCTTTAGGCCTGCCTACTTTTTCTGACCTAAAGCGAACAGCATGTTAGGTTTTCTTGTGGAGAAGAATCGGAAGCTCTTTTACATGTAAATGTAAATTGAATATGAACTTTATGCTGATGATGATGCAGATTCGTTTCTYATCCTCGTCTCTGTTTTTGTATTTCTTTCCATCTTTTTTTATTATTAATAGACCCCTTGCAGTTCATGGGAATGCAGCTCCAACTGGAGGACAAAACAATAGATTCTAGTTCCCAAGAGGATAAAAATCTTTTGTTTGTCCTCCAGATGAAGCTATTTTGACGTCACATGCAAGGGGTCTATTAGTGTTCGTTTGCTCGTTATCTCTCTTTACCTTTCTTTGTGTCGTCGYGCGACCATCACGCCTGAGTTTCGAACACGCTTGAAAATTGGCTGCAACTTCGCGGCGATTTTCCATCGCCGCAACAATCTCGGGCTGTTTGCACGTACGATWTTAGTTGCGCGATAGMAAAGTGGCGATTATCGCGCTGMAAAAATCGCAAGYGTAAACGGGACTTAAAGATTTCCTATCTTTTCATTTCAGGGTACACTYCAACAGCGTAATATACCCACCTACAAGCAGATTTACCCCCCTCCACCGTCATCATCAGTATCATCAAAGCGTGAAGACGTAGCGTCCGTCAAATCAGACTCGCGGATCATTCGCCCCTTCCATCCCCCTATCGCGACTCTTCCAGCTAAACCGAAACGAAACAGTTCAAGTCATTACATCAACAGAACAAGYCCATACTTGAATGATCGAGACTCYGAAGGAGTTTGTACACAAAAAATAAAGCCAGATTCGATGTGTTATAGTCCTAATCACTACGAAGACGTCGCGGGTAGGGTTCAAGGTCTGAGCCTTCAATCCAATGGTGRYGTAGAACGSCGGAGAAGCTGTAATTACCCCGATGTAGTGAGAAATGGCGACCGCCGTAGTGTTTATGACAATGTCATAGAAACTGAACCTCCAAAGAGTTCAGAAAGACGTGTGTCTGTAGCAAAAATCTACCTACAGCCTTCAGGTCAAAGGTTGTCGAAAAGTTACGATCCATCGAGGTACACCAATGGTGAGCARGACCAAGTACGTCAACCTAAGGTRTACTATCAAGGCGCATCGGATAGCAGGGAACAAAGATCAAAGTCATATGGGGATAGCATAGATGCMTCRTCTCCATATTCTCAAGTTCCGTACAATTCAATGCCGCCAAACTACAGGCCAGCTCCACCTTCATACCAATCATACCAGCAAGCCAAGGGAACACTACACAACTCAGTGGTCACTACTAGACCTTGGTACCAGGAAGATTCGTATTCAGAGCAATTAAGCAG